GAAGCTGCAGCTGCCATCTTTGCAAAGGGCAGCCTGGATTCTCTTAAGGCAGGCTAAGGGAATCCAGCCTGCCCTTTGCAAAGATCGCAGCTGCAGCTTCCCTACCATAAATGAAGCTGCAGCTGCCATCTTTGCAAAGGGCAGCCAGTCTCCATTTTTACACGCGTGGCTCAGAGGCCAGAAGACCTCGGCAGCAACGATTAAGGTAAGAGGATGTCAGTGGGGGTGGGGTGGTGTAGCGTGGGGCCAAAGGTAGGGAAAGGAAGTGGGTGGGGGGAGGCTGTGGTATTGGGTGGCTGTGTGGGGTGGTGGCTGCCATTCTGATGCCGATCAGCTGATCAGCAGCCGGTAGGCAGAATGGGTTTTTTGTTGTTGTTTTAAATATGAAGGATGAATAAAAACGGGTAAATATTCATCCCTTCGTATTCCTGGATGTATCTGGAACCCACAAATATAGATTGATGAATATTTAATGAATCGGATATATTTGTAGGAAAAAGCGATCCATTTTTATATTCGTTCCCGTCTTTACTCAGGAGCCATAGTTTGCAGACAGAATCATGCATTTTGCATGTAAAAATCACCAATTTATTTTCTACACAGGGAAGGGAAGGGAAAAATTCTTGCCTAAAACTCAGAAAATCTACTACCAGTCAGAACAAAAAAGAGGAAAAAGTAAGTACTAAGCTAGATGGATGAATGGATACACTTAGGATCCAACTTAGCATGCATTTAGAAGCAGTATTTCTATAATGGTGAAAGGTATCTATTTGTTCTAATGAAAACTTTTCCTCACCTTGTGTTGCAGTATGCTTTGTTCTATGATTGGTCATCAGAAAGTAAATACAGGCTTAATTTGCAAGTGTGACTGCCAAAGCATGTGTCCACAAAAAAAAGCCCTTTATCAGAGAGAAAACATACTGATTACAGAGAAAGTATAATCTCAACATCTAGCTGGATTTTGTTGAATATATTTTCCATGACTTTTCATGGATAACATAAGAAGAGCCCTGCTGGATCAGGCCTAGGGCATATCTAGTCCTGCTTCCTGTATCTCACAGTGCCCTCACCAGATGCCTCTGGAAGCACACAAGACAGATACCCATCTCCTGATACCCCTCCCCTGCATCTGGCGTTTTGAGGTATCTTCCTTCTAAGCCTGGAGATTATACATCCCCATCATGGCTTGTAAACTGTGACTGACTTTTTCTCCAGGAATCTGTCCAATCCCCCTTTAAAGGCATCTAGGCCAGATGCCATCACCACATCCTGTGGCAAGGAGTTCCACAAATGCTGCTATTCCTAAAATGCCAGGTCTTAACATGCCAGCCTACTGGTCCATCTAGCACAGAACATCTTCCAATGGGCTGGTTCAAGGTGGCTTCATATGTTCAGACACATGGCCACAGGGATGGCCATTCCCTATATGCCTGCAAAGATCTACCTCTCAGGGTTTTTTTCCAGCATGAAAGTTTTGGCTTGCTATCATGACTAACAGACATTAATAGGCTAATCCACCCAGAACTTGCCTCATCTCTTTATAAAGCTTGTACTACTAAGCTAGTTGTCATCACCATTTTTGTAGCAATGTATTCTTTAAGTTAATGATGCATTGCATGAACAAATACCTGAAGCAATTGCTCCCTATTGTGTAGCAACAGTAAGGCTTTGTTTAACTGTTTCTGACCTAATCATACATATATACACACATCATTCCCATGTTCAGTTTTAAACAAAAACTGATAAATGGAAGCAACTTAATGGAAACTCCTATGTGCTCTTGAACTGAAAGCTGAGCAGTTCAAGTGTGAGATACCTACGGCGTGCATGAGACTGCAAAGAAAAAGGTTCTGTAAGAGCAGCGGCTTCTTTTCAGTCCATTGTGAGCCAGGAATTGTGCATGTGTCAATGACTGAGAAAACAGATATGCAAGCTTTTCTTTGTACACATATGAACAGCTATGTAAAGCAGAATGTAAACACTGCTCACGTGTCAGCTTCTCTCTGCACACTTTAGTGTATGCACATTAAGACAGGCAGTGACTGCCTACCCTTTATGCTTGTCCATGCTCATGCTTACAAGTTGTTTGGCATTGTGTATATTTAGGATAAATGTTCACACTGTCTCAAAAATCTGAATTCCGTCTCTGACAAAAATAACTGTCCCAAGTCTTTTGTACTACCACCCACACGTGCTGAATGTGATCAGGAGTGGGAAGGTGTCGCTTCGGGGAGCTGGGGGAGGGAGGTGGAGAAGAGAGCGCCCGCAGGCTTTGCCGCAGAGCAAAATCAAAACCGAACTGAAGATTATTTATGGTCAGTCATTTATGAGGTAATGGCAAAAAAACACAAAGCAGCTCCTCTTCCAAAGGAGACACTCTGAACACTTTTAGCATTTGGAATACAACTGGTTTGATCTTTGGTTTATAGCTGACAGCTTGATGCAGGCGGCGCCTTTTCCCACCAGCTCCTAGCTGGCCTGCAGTTAAGAGTCCTTCAGGGTGCTGTGTCTTGCAGTAAGGCACACGTGGTCATTAATCACTATCCCAACTGATAACCCTGTTCAGAAATAAGCAATGTATAGGAAGAGGCTGTTTCTGTAAACGTGGCAAGCAGGCTCCCACAGTCTGGAAGCAACAGGCACTGCAGGGTTTCCCCTCTCATGAAGGTGCAGCAGGATGGACTGTGCTCAAAGGAGGAACGTAAGAAGAAGAGTGATGTTCTTAAACAGGGAGGGAAAAGGAAGTGGGGTAGACTCAGTTATGCCCACCTGAAAAGGAATAGGATAGGAGTATCACCCTACTGTGAACACTATGTCTGGGGATGTGGGATGAGATTGGGGAACTGATCCTATGCCTGTTTCCCTCTTCCTCCCATGGCTTTGCAGGCCAAAATTCTCAGGTCCAATCCTTGCCATCTCCAGGTACAGGAAACAAAGAAGGTTGCCTGAAATCATGAAGAGCCACAGCCCATCACAGACTTCACTACACAACTGGGCTGGAATGAGAGTTGGACTCAGTGTAAGGCAGCATCCTGCGCTCCTGTAAGGAAAGGGCTGCTAGGACATACCCCGCCCCATTAAGGCTGCCTTGAGCAACCATCCACCCCATTCAGATGCGGTTGGACATCAGTCTGGTGTTGGTCGGAATCAGTGTAAGGCAGCATCCTGTCCCCCAGTAAGGAAAGGGCTGCTAGGACACACACACCCCGCCCCATTAAGGCTGCTTTGGGCAACCATCCACCCCACTCAGATGCGGTTGGACATCAGTCTGGTGTTCAGCTTCCGGAAAAAGGAGCGCAGCTTGCAAATCTTGCACTTCTTCTTCCGCTTCTTGTTTTTCAGCTTCCCATGAGCTACTGCCTCCCATGCGTCTTCTTCATCCGTTGCCCAGGGTCCCCAGGCACCCCCGTTGAAGTCAGGGTGAGCTCGAGGATTTTCTGCTGGATATCTAACTGGAATGGCAGTCTGGTTGTAGCGGACGAGTCTGAGAAGCAGAGCCCTGACGATATCAGGCCGCTGCTCCGACAGGTCATAGCGCTCATAAGGGTCGGCGGTGATGTTGAACAGCCAGACTGATTTGCGAACACCATCTGTCAGGCGCTCTAAGTTCCACCAGCTTCCTGGGAAGGTGGCTAAAGTCTGTGGTGGGATCCAGTCACTGTAACCAGGGTCGCCAGTCAGTAGCTTCCAGTCTCCTACCCGCACAGAGGCCTGTACTGCAGTGTTCCATATGCCATAGCCACGCTCTAACGAACCATATTTTGCGTGATTATAAAGAGGATCAATGTTATGCAGAATTTCAGTTCGTGGAGATTCCTTGCCTTCACTAATAGCTGGCCACACGTTATAACCATCCAAACCATCTGCTTCAGACAAGTTGCCTCGAGCCAAAGTCACTAGAGTTGGGTACCAGTCGGTTATGTGAATTAGCGCCCGACTGGTTCTCCGTTTGCGTTTGATCAGAGGGCTGTGGACAAACCCAATTCCACGGACTCCTCCTTCCCAATACGTTCCTTTGCGGCCTCGCAGAGGCCAGTTGCTTCCCCCAGAGAAGGTCTGCCCCCCATTGTCTGTCGAGAAAACAATCACACTGTTGTCATAGTAACCATACTTCTTGAGTGCCCAGGTGATGTTCTTCACGGCTTCATCCATGCAAGTAACCATTGCAGCGTATTTGCGCCGCGCCACATTACCCATGGAGCGATAGCGGTAGATGTACTCCTTCGGGGACTGCAATGGAGTGTGCACTGCTTGGAAGGCTACATAAATAAATATGGGTTCCTTTGGATTATGAGTGGCCAAGATTTTGCTGACTCGCTGAGCATAGAGGAAGGTGGAATATTTGCCACTTTGTTCCCAAGCAACATTTTCCCCATCATGAAGGTCATAGCCGCACACTCCGGGCCCATCACAATTGTCATAGGTATAATAATCCACATTTCCTGTCAGTGATCCCAAAAAAGTGTCAAAGCCTCTGCGGGTGGGCAGACATTCTTTGCGATAGAACCCTAGGTGCCATTTGCCTACCATGTGGGTTGAGTAACCAGCTTCCTGCAACTTCTGGGGAAGGGTGACTTGATTGAAGGGCAGGCAGTTGGGCTGCCGTGGACGGATAATGGAGTGCTGAAGTCCTGTATGGATTTGGTACCTAGGAAGTAAAAGAAAGCAGAAAGAACATAATGAATTGCAACACCTTGGTTCCTCATCAGAGCTACCATTCATGCATTTGATGAATATATTTGCCTGACAGAACACTAATAAGAGTTAGGAGTTATTCTTAAGGATCACAAAACTGCACATCCAGAATTTTCATCCTGTAGGCAGACACAAAATATCTGCACTCAGTATATACATGAATACATACACACACAAGTTGCACCATACAGAACCAGTTGAGGAAAGATTAGGTAAAGGTAAAGGTTCCCCTTGACAATTTTTTTTTGTCCAGTCGTGTTCAACTCTAGGGGGCGGTGCTCATCCCCGTTTCCAAGCCATAGAGCCAGCGTTTTGTCCGAAGACAATCTTCTGTGGTCACATGGCCAGTGCGACTTAGACACGGAATGCTGTTACCTTCCCACCAAGGTGGTCCCTATTTATATACTTACATTTGCATGTTTTCAAACCACTAGGTTGGCGGGAGCTGGGACAAGCGACGGGAGCTCACTCCGTCGCGTGGATTCGATCTTACGACTGCTTGGTCTTCTGACCCTGCAGCACAGGCTTCTGCGGTTTAGCCCACAGTGCCACCACGTCCCTGGGGAAAGATTACAGCACCCTGAATATGTCCAATCTTGGCTTATTCATATGCCAATCAGGTTCAGACCTGGTTAATATCTGGATAGGTGGCAACATGGTAATGTAAGAGATCTCCAGGTAGGACTAGGAAACAAAAATGTTTGAAACCCATTGGATATCTCAGCTGATAGTATAAGGGCAGAAGGACCCAGTGGTTGAACATGATATAGCTGACTTGACAGCGTCCTATGTTCAGAGTGCATCTGTCTGATGAAACAAGAACAGCCAGATGGGCATACTAGCTAGCCAAGTCTTGTCTCTTTCTCACTTGGTCCTTCATCCTGCAAAACTCTTCCTGTTGCCTCCACACCTCCTCTGTTTTCAGCACCCACTGAGGGAAGTTTACTGCGTGCTGTGTAGCCTAAGATATAGGCCACGGTTTCCTTCTCCAAGCCAGAGATGGGGGAAGCAACAGGAGCAAATGATGGGGGAAGCAGGAAGAGGATGAGACATGGCAACCCAGTGTGCTTTCCAGACAGTTCTGTTGTGAAGACAGACTCACAGAAGGCCAGAAGAACATGCTGTGAGTCCTCTTTTGATATGACGTCTGTCTCCAACCTTAGTGAACGTCTAGTTCTAATTCTGGAAATTATGGCAATTTCTCAAAAGGAGGCAAACATAATTTCCAGGAGAAAGAGAATTACGCTGAAAAAAAGCTCCAGTTCCTAGTCCCATAACTCATAGTGACAAGTGCAATTGGCCTCAGATCCACCCTGAACAAAGATGATCTTCAAAGCTTACAGAATCATTTAAGAGTCAGGGCACAATTAATTTTATATCATGCATCATCTTCCTTTCAGACTGGAACAATTAGATTCATTTTTAAGATTATGTATGGAGGAAAAACAGATTTAGCCTTGCTGAGAAGTTTAAGACAGGAAGCAGGCCAGGCAGACCTGCAATCTTACCACCTCACTGCCTCTGTTGGCACCTGTCACACAGTAAAACACGCTAAGACACTGAATTGTAGCCCGTCCAGTCAGTAATTGCCAGCTGGACACCAACTGCCAGACTATGTTTTACAAGTTAACAGGAAAGCTTCCAGATTAACTGAGGGTAGCATTCTGCAAGGTTCATCTTCCTAGAGGGCCAGAACTGGGCGCCTTGGCACCTTCATAGCAGGACCTTGATGCTGTTAATTAATTTCTACAAGAGGACAATCCAAGGAAGAATGCTTTATAGTATTTATTAAGTATGCAGACTTGTATCTCTCTTTTCAACTCTAGTCCTCAAAATGCCACAGGACATTTCTAAAATGCAACAGAAGGATAAGAACGGCTTCCGCCAAGAGAGCCAAACGATCAACACAACCAGGCAGTCTGGAGCAGCAGCCTGGAGCTCAACCTCCTTTCTACAGTGCGTCTAATGTCAACTGGCCCTCTAGGCGTAGGGAGGGTGGGATACATGATGTAAATGGAACTGCTTACACTTCCTGTCTCTCCACTCGCCTTCCTTCCCACTAGGCAGCTGGCAGGGATGACCTGGCATATCCTTTGGCCCTGTAGTCATAAGGTAGGTTTTTGGAATTTCTGTACTAACATCTTTTCTTCATAATCTTCTCAAAGAGAACCTGGTCCTTTTAATACTGACTCTACATCACAGGATTGCCTGTCCCCATGAGCGGCTAAATTGAGCAGCTCCTAAAGCAGAATCCTGTACATGTCTACCCAGCACAAGGTTCCAAAGAGGTATATGGTATTTTGTTATGTTCTCACTTATGATGACCCTAAGAGAGTTTTTGAGATCGGGGAGATATTCAAGAAGTGGTTTACCATGACCACACACACTCCCAGTGAATTTCTGTGGCAGATCGGAGGTTTGAACTCTCGTCTCCCAATTCTTAGCCTGGCACTCTTGTCAGCAGCACCACACCGGCTCTCAAAGGGGGTTTAATCCCAACAAAAATGTATTCAAATCTGTCCTGAATAGCACTATCGGTCCTTCAAAGCAGGTTTCTAAACACCTATCATAATGAGCCTCGTGGCGCAGTGGTTAAAACGCTGCACTGCAGCTAAAACTGTGCTCAC